AGGAATGGGGGGGGCAAGAAGCACAAGGAAGAAAGCCAAGTCTGTTTGTCTGATCAAGGTTTCCGTTTATTAAAATTTTTTACCCAACTTATATAGGGAGAAGGCAGGAAAGGGGGAAGGTAATTAGCTGCTGCAGGAGACAGGAAGAGTGCTTTCATGGGTTAACTATTGCACCTGCAAGATACCATAGGATGTTCTCTTAAGCTATCTCACGGATGCTCTAACAAAGGATGTCCTCACAATCTGTCACCCATGATTTCGGGTCTAGATATCTCTTTCACTACATAGCTTTAGGTCTCCACTAAATGACCTTTGCTCTCTACTTGGCTTTGGCTTCAGTAACTACCTTTGTCTCCACTAGATAGCTTTGACTTTGGCTTCCGTAGATAGCTTTGGCTCCCGGCAGTTATGAAGGTGGGACTGGGAGGAGAGGGGGACTGACATCAGGCTGGAAAGTGAATAAATTAATTAAATAATGGAAAAAAGAACAGCAAGTTGAATAAAATATGTAAAAATTAAGTGGCTGCATGTCAGTAATTTTCAGGAATTTCATGGGCAGATCAAGCTTTGCCCAGTTGCTGTTTTCTCAGATAGACTAATAGGTGGATTCCTTTAGTCCCGGCAAAGGCAGGCAGATCTCTGTGAGTTTGAGGCCAGCCTGGTCTACAAAGCCAGTCCAAGACAGCCAAATCAATACAGAGAAACCCTGTTTTGAAAACAAACAAACAAACAAATAAATAAATAAATAAGTAAAGTGGAATATTAAAAACCAATTACATTATCTAATAGTGCTCTTTAAGACAAGTCATCATTTGTCATTTCTTTTTATAAATAAACGGGTCAGCTAGAGATCTCTGACACATAACTAAATAATTACTCAACAAATGACTCCACCAGGCTCCCCAAATGACAGGTGTTCCCAGTGTGCTGAACTTGTGCGCACACAGAACAGTCTCCTCACCCCAGGTGGAGGAAGTACTAAGACATCCAAGCTGGAAGCTGCAGGACTGGTAAGTGCTAGAGTGCTTAAGGGGCTTCTCTGCCTGGTGAGGGTGAGAGCAGGCTTGTCAGACATGCAGGCAGCAAACACTGGTGCTGAGGTCTGTAGCAAAGAAAAGAGGAATCTGCCGGGAAAGGAGCCACAGCCTGTTCGCCTTCACAGCTGTTCGCCTGTGCCCGGCCAGTCTGGGTGAACGAGTTGAAGTTGAGGATCGCTCCATGGTGCAGTGTCCATGACATCACCATCGCTGATGGCGTTGGATGGGGTGATGCAGGTCAGCCACATCTTTTTATCCTCTTATCTACCAGCTCCAGAGGTCAACTGACCTGAGATGAAGTGTGACAGGCCCTTGGAGAGCCTCCCACCCATGGCTAGTCTTGGTTTTTAATTTGAGGACATCTGGGATTCACTAAGCCAAAAGCAGCTGAGCACATATGTGAGGGGGTTTTCTTGGTTGGATTATTTGGGATGACAGACCCACCCTAGTGGCAGCCTACATAAAAAGGAAGGTTTTGCTTTTTGCCTGCTTGTGTTGACTCTGGCTGGCAAGTTATCTATCTAGTTTCCCAGACACACTTTGCTGATGTTAGAACCTAGTCCTTCAGATGATACATGACCCCTGTGAAAGGGTCATTCAAGCCCCACGGAGCTCGCAACCCAAGGGCTGAGAACCTCTGAACTAGAGGCAGGCCTTCCCTGGCTTCTGCCGCGCTGCACACTTCAGGCTGGCTGGCTGGCCTGTCTGTCTCCCATCTTGCAGTAGAAAATGGGTTGGATCACAGGTCTGTGCAGCGCGTCTGAACTTGGCTTGCCAGGCTGACGTGTCCGCTGCCCTTATTGGCTGAGCTTCCAGCTGGGAAGATGGTTCAGCAGTTAAGCAGGCCTGCTGCAAAGCCTGATGACCGCAGTTCAATGCCTGGAACCTACATAAGGCTGGAAGGAGGGCACTGTCTCTACGACACGGTCCCCTAATTTCCACAGGCAGGCTGTGGCATGTAGACACCCCACTCACAGACAGGAAGTAAATAGTAAACTTTGTTTTGTTTTTGTTTTGAGACAGGGTTTCTTTCTGTAGCCCTGGCAGTCCTAGAAATCACTCTATAGACCAGGCTAGCCTTGAACTCAGAGGTCCAGCTGCCACTAACAAGTGATTAAAGGTGAGCGCCGCCATGCCCAGCTACAACTGAGTACATTTTAAAACTTTCTTTCCTTTTACCAGTTCATCAGCATGCTTTACAGGCAGCTGGCATGTGCAACCTTGGGGAAGGTGGGGATTGCTGGCTGGCTTACAGAAGAATGCAGTGAGATGGGCTGTGGTCCAGAGCTGTTATGTAACGAACTGCGTTCATTAAGCCAGTTAAGTTTTAAGTTCTTTAAAGGATGGTAAGACCAAGAGCCAGCCGGCTTGTGCCTCTGAAAAGTCTCTCCGTGCTCAAACTCAGGATATAGTTTTTAGAGGCAAAAAAACCACAAAGACCATAATTTACATCAAAGTCAGATGATGATCAGAGTAACCTTGACACTTTCGTTCCTGGCAGAGCATAGTAATTATTTTAGATATAAAGTGGCAATTGTTTTGGTTAATACATCTGGACCATGGTCAAGGCCATGGAAATCTCAAATGTGTTGCCAAAGCAGAGGTTAACTATTGGGAGAAGGGGTTGGAGGGCTGGGAACTGTCTGAGCAAACACAAACCGGAGTCCAAGCAGGATGGCCTTACCCTAGTCATTTCACACCCGGGACGCATTGCTTGCTACTCCCTCAGGGAAGCTGGGGGCCTGAAAACTGACACAGGAAACTCTCCATAACAACTCTGTCCAGAACCAGGGGAGGGAAGCTTCCACCACACCTTTCCTGTAACAGTGTCACAACTCATAGAAGCGGCGAGGTGGAAGCCGAGTGAAGTACAGGTTTTGAGAGCTGTGGGTTAGAGCTGCCCAGAGCATCTTTCCTCTGGGCGGGTGTCTTCTGCAGTTAGCCCAGGCTGCCTCCATTAGGGAGAAAAAGATGGAGGGGCAGAATGTCTCTCCATATGGGCCCATTTTAGCTGGGCCACCCTTTCCCCTGTATTTCTTTCTTTTAGGGTCTCATGTAGCTCAGGCTGGCTCTGAACTTGCTGTGTAGCTAAGGGTGACCCTGCCTTTCTGATCCTCCCCCACCCCCGAATGTTGGGAATGCAGACTCACACGGCTGTGCCACTTGGTGCCTTGTGGAGTGCCCTCCCCAGTCTGGTGCGCAGGCCAGCACTGCGTTCCAGCCTTTCCTTGTGCTTTACTTCTCCTTAAAAAAAAAAAAAAAAAAAAAAAAAAAAATCTTAGCTGGGCCATGTGGGAGAGGCCCACACCTTTAACCCCAGCACTTGGGAGACAGAGGCAGGAGGCTGTCGGGGAGCTTTAGGCCAGTGTGGCCTGTCTGGTGAGCTTCCAGCCAGCTGGGGCTGTGTAGTGAGGGCCTCTCTCAAAATAGGATTTTTTAATGAAGCTGGAGAGGTGTGCTGCTCTTTCAGATGACCTGACTTTGGTTCTTCACACATAAAGCCACTTGTAACTTCAGTGCCAGAGGATCCAATGCCTTCTAGTCTAACCCCTGGCCTCCTGCACACAGACACACAGACACACACACACACACACACACACAGACCACACAAAGACAGACAGACACACACACACACATTTTTTTTTTTAACTTTGTTTGAAATGGCCTGTATGTTTTGGTATTTAAACTTTCCTTCTTTTGGGCTGGAGAGCTGTCTCGGTGGACACAAACACTTGCTGCAGAGCCAGAGGACCTGAATCTGAGTCCCAGTCTCCCACATGAAGAGCTGGGTGCGGCCACACCTGTGCCTGTAACCCCAGCGCTGTAAATGGCAGACAGGAAGATCCGTTGGGGCTTGCTGACTGTCAGCCTAGGTGGGCTCAGGAGAATGAGGCAGAGAGCAGGGCAGGACACCTGGTCTACCCTCTGGCCTCTGTGCACTAGTGTGCACAGCCGCACACCGGCATACACCCCCACTCACACGCCCTCACACACACATTTCCTTTGGGGTTTTTAAAGATGTATTTATTTTATGCGTAGTAAGTGGGTTGTTCTTCTGGGTATCGGCACGTGTACATGTGTGCGGCACCTATGGAGGCCAGGAGTGGGTGTCGGATCCCATGGAATGGAACTGGAGTTCGCAACGGTTGTGCGACACCGTGTGGGTGCTGGGGACTGGATCCAGGTCCCCTGTAGGGGCAGTCAGTGCTTTTGGCTGTTGGACTGTCTCTCTAGCTCCCAGGTTCCCCTTTTGTTTTTATTTAATCTCCTCCCTCCACTGTTCATCTCTCATTGGCCCCTTTCCTTGTAGACGCTTATCAGAGAAAGTCCTGTTGGCCACAGCCTTCCCCTTGACAGTATCCTAACTAACCTGTGAAAAGTCTGAAGCCAAGCTTCTGAAAACCAGCCTTATCTGGAGAGTGTGTGTGTTGACAAATCATCCAGGGCCTCAAACATGCTCAGCACAAGCTATAGCTCGGAGCTCTGCCCAGCCCCTCTCAGTAACCCTGGGGTTCTCTCCAGCCAAAGTGGGCCAGCAGTGCTCAGATGTGCTGGGCATCTTCAGGTCTTGGCCCTGTTGGGACAACTGCAGGCCACTAGAAGGCTTGGGTTTTGAATTTCCTCTTCTTTATTATTTTGAAACTGCTTTTCTAATCCTCCCACACACACTGTGTGTGTGTGTGTGTGTGTGTGTGTGTGTGTGTGTGTGTGTGAAGACGCATGAGAGAGGTGTGTTTACAGATATGTGCAGGTGAATGTGCCTGTGCAGGTCCCAGCAGAGGCCAGAGGAAGGTTCCAGGTGCCCCTCCCATCACTGTCTGATTTCCACACACAGTGGAAGGAGAGAACTGACTCCACAACGTTGTTCCTTGATGTGTGCTGAGGCAAATGTCCCCACTCACAACATGCACACGCAGCAGTTCTATAGGACATTTAAAAATTATTTTTAATTTTGTATGTATGTCCATGTATGTATGTGTACTTGTACTATGTCTGAGTGTACGTATACATGTATGTGCACATGAGTGCCAATGTGCATGGAGTCTTTCGGGCAGGAGTTACAGGTCATTGTGAGCTGCTCTCCATGGATGCTGGAAAGCGAACAAGGGTGCTCCGCGAAGGTGGCAGTGCATAGCTGTATGTAGGAGCCGTCTCTGCAGTCCCTTTAATAACACATGTTCTAGGTCTCAATTAGATAATGTGAAGCACAAAGAAAGCATCTGCAGACATTGATTTTGTGAAAAAACAAACAAAAAACCAAAACACTTTTGCTTCTCTTTTGCTAAAATGTCTCCTGTAGTCATGAACTGGTGCTTCGAGAGATCAGAGGCCTTGCTTCTTCTAAGAAAAAAAAACGGCGCTTCTTGTCGTCTCTTAAAAAAACAAGTTAAGCTGCAGTTTTAAAAATCAGATAAAGAGCACACTGTATCACTGGCTTTTCTGTCGCTGCGATGAAACAGCTGGCAAGAGCAGGCTGACGGAGAGAGGGCTCGTTCTGAGCCACAGCTCAGCGTGGCGGGGGGCTCCAGCAGGAGGAGTTTTTCTTTTCTGAGACAGGGTCTCTCCGTGTATCCAGGCTGTCCTGAAACTCACTCTGTAGACCAGGCTGGCTTCCAACTCAAGAGACCCACCTGCCTCTGCCTCCCATAGGCTGGGACTAAAGCGGTGCACCGCCACGCCCCCCTCAAGACAGAAGGACTTTGAAGCAACAAGTCACATAAGTTCTTTGGTCAAGGAACTGAGTGGTAAATGTTCGCAGCTGCTTAGTTCCATTTCTCTGTTTATACAGCCCAGGATCCCAGCCAGGAGAGGGCAGGACTTACAGTGCGTGTCTCCCTGCTTCGAAGAACGTAATCAATGGATGTCCTTATACTCAGCTGGGTGGTGGTGGAGCGCACCTTTATTCCCAGCACCTGGAAGACAGAGGCAGACATATCTTTGTGAGTTCAAGGCCAGCCTGGTCTATAGCGCAAGTTCCAGGACAGCCAGGGCTACACAGAGAACCCAGTCTCAAAAAACCAAAAACCAAAACAACAACAACAGCAAAGATAATTATACCCACAGTCATTCCCCGAGGGTGGACTGACTCTCAGGAGATACTAGACCACATCAGGTGGATCACACAGCAGGTTCAAACACACAGAACAGGACAGGCTGGAGAAGACTAAGTTCTCTGTCAGACATGGACACGGAGAACAAATAACCATTTGAACAGGAGGGAAGAATGGGTCATCTCTTCGAACAAAAGCAGGGAAGAAATGTTACCAGAATCTTCAGGAGCCCCTTACTGGGCACCAAATATTATGGGGGAAGTTGGGGGTTCTCAGTTGAGGAGTTTTATTAGTGTTTGAGAGAACTTGAGTTTGGGTTCTGGAGACAGGAGGAGAGAGCGCTGTCGCCTGAGTTACTGAGCCTGTCAGCAATGAGGTCAGTGAGCAGCCACACGCAAAAGGTGGGTAGCTTTAGAGACTGAACAAGAAAGTCCAAACCACCAGAGGAATCGCGCTCAGACTGGGCAGGCATTCAAATAGATAGAAAAGAAAAAGGAGAGAGCGCCAACCTAACAGAGCTGGCTGGCTGAAATGATCTTTTGTGTTTGCTTAGACAAAAGTGGCCTCAGGCAGCTCTAACTCACAGCTCTCAGGAACCCAGAAACACAGTGTCTAACAGCATTTTCATCGTATTGTCCCCGTCACAGAACTGCATGTCAGGAATGTCCCATCTACAAACACGGTTGGAATTGTCTTAGTCAGTGTTCTATAGCTATGAAGGGACACCGTGACCACAGCAACTCTTTTTTTTTTATTGTTTCAATTTTTAAAATTTTTATTTTATTTTTGTATTAATTACAGCTTATTCACTTTGTATCCCAGCTGTAGCCCCTCCCCCTCCCAAGCCCACCTTCCTTCCCTCTTCTTCTCCTATGCCCCTCCCCCAGTCCAATGATAGGGGAGGTCCTCCTCCCCTTCCATCTGACCCTAGCCTATCAGGTCTTATCAGGACTGGCTACATTGTCTTCCTCTTTGGACTGGTAAGGCTGCTCCCCTCCCCCCTCAGGTGAAGGTGACCAAAGAGCCAGCCTATGAGTTCAAGTCAGAGACAGTCCTGTTCCCATTACTAGGAAACACACTTGGAGACTGAGCTGCCATGGGCCACATCTGTGCAGGGGTTCTAGGTTACTTCCATGGTCCTTGTTTGGAGTATCCATCTCACAAAAGACCCCTGTGCCCAGATTTTTTGGTTCTGTTGCTCTCCTTGTGGAGCTCCTGTCCCCCCCAGGTCTTTCTATCTCCCCCTTCTTTCATTTGGCTGAGTCTTAGCATCTGCTTTGATACCCTGCTGGGTAGAGTCTTTCAGAGGCCCTCTGTGGTAGGCTCCTGTCTTGTTCCCTGTTTTCTCCCTCTTCCGATGTCCATCCCATTTGCCTTTCCCACAGCAACTCTTACATCAGGAAAGTATTCAGTTGGGGCTGGCTTACAGTTTTCAAGGTTCAGGCCATTGTCATCATCAGGGGAAGCATGGTGGCACGCAGGCAGACATGGTTCTGGAGAAGGAGCTGAGAGTTCTATATTCAGATCTGTAGACAGCAGGAAGAGAGAGACTCCAGGCTTGGAATGGGCTTTTTAAAAACCTCAAAGCCCACCCTCAGTGGCACACTTCCTCCAACAAAGCCACACCTCCTAATCCTTTCAGACAGTGACACTCCTTGGTGACCAAGTATTCAAATTTGTAAACCAAAGCATCTCATTCTCATTCAAAATACTACAATAACCAACAGACTCTATATATCAAACTCTATCAGGCTATCAGGAGACAAGTACTGCTAGGCTTTGAGGCTGTCTTTGTGAGAATTTCTACTGCTGTGATGAAATACCATGTTCAAAGCAACTTGGGAAGAAAAGGGTTCATCTGGTTCACACTTACACATCATTGCTCATCACTTAAGGAAATCAGGACAGGAACTCAAACAGGGCAAGAGCTTGCAGGCAAAAGCTGATGCAGGGGCCATGGAGGGGTGCTGCTTACTGGCTTGCTCCTTGTGGCTTGCTCACCCTGCTTTCTTCTAGAACCCAGGACCACCTGCCGAGGAGGGGTGCACTTACAATGAACTGTGTTCTCCTCTGTCAATAACTAAGAAAACATTCTACAAGGTTGCTTACAGCTCAGTCTTACCGAGGCACTTTTCTCTCACACACACACATACAGAGAGAGAGAGAGAGAGTGAGCTGGGGGTGGGGTATTGCACTCTTCCTTTAACAAAATCCAACAAGATCTAAAATACCACATGAAAGGAAGGCAGGTCTCAGGCTTGGCAAAGACGAATTGACCCTTTGCAGGAAAACTACTTACCTTGTTCAAAGGCGTTTTCTCTTGTCCTAAGTGGAAACATGATGCTTTAATCTGCCCTCAGCCTCTCTCTCTCTCTGTCTATCTGTTGTGTTTTGTTTGTGTGTGTTTAGGTACACATATACATGCCTGAGCATGTATGAGCATATGTGTTAGGATGCAGGTGTAGAGATCAGAGGACAACTTTCAGGACTCTGTTCTCTATTTCAAATATGAGAATATTTGAGGGTGCATTTGAGCTTGAGGAGACTTTCTCAGGTCTCGGTGAGCTTAACTTTCTGGGGTATGATCCTGGAAAATAAATTCAATGGCACCAAAACCTCCCTGATCTAGTCGTTTTTGGGTCCCTGTGTGGTGAAACTAAAGAATGAAATTCATAGACTACAGAGGGTGAATTTTAGAGACATTTTTAAATTATATATTCATAGATGGGAGGGGAGAGAGAAAAAGAGAGAGGGAGGCAGAGCCCTTGTATAATAGGAGTGGTCTCAGGAAGTAGGGGACTTTGGCACACTAGTCTGGGGTTTTTTATTATTATTATTATTATTTTAAAGTACTTTGGGAGCAACTTGGTTGGGCCAGCTATGAAGTGTCCAAGCGTGAGGCCTGAAGTTATATTTTAAGTTTTAATTACTGTGCCTAAGAGATCTATAAAACAAAAATGCCTCTAACTTTCTGGAATGCTGGGGGCTATTGTTCCTGTAAGATAATAAACCGTGTGTTTTCACTTCAGTAAACAAGGTTGGTTGCCCCGACAGCGACAGCACAGGAGGTGCTTGCTCACACACAGACGGGAAGTACTTCAGGATGCATGATGGCCCCTGATTGGATGAATGTGGGAAGTTCGTAGCCTTGTGGGTTTTGACTTTAAAACGCACCTGCCTAATACAATGTGGCCATTCTCTGGAGATCCCAGGTATGGACTGGGCCAGTGTCCATTGTCTTGACAAGGGTTTAATAAAGTTTGCTTCAAATTTGGCTCAAAAATTGTAGCAGTGGTTTTATTCTCACCTGGTGGGATCAACACAAGCTTCTAGCCACAGCCTCACATGCCTCAAGGGACAGACCCGACAAGGGACCAGGAGCCATAACTTCTCTCAGAGCTGCTGCCTAGGGATCCTGCCCTGTTTAACCATTTTCCATCCCCTGTTCTCATTGCCTCCACCGGCTGGTTCTAGGGACTGAAGCCAGGTTCTGCCATGAGTGTCCTTATCCACGGAGGTGTATGCAAAGCCCCTTGTGTGCTTCTGGACTCTCCTCCCCCTCCTTACTTCCACTTCTTCAGATATGACCCAAATTCCAAACAGGCCTGATCCCTTTTCTCCACTCACTGCACACCGATCCCTCCCTGAGCCTGCCTGCTTTCTTGAGCTCTAAGTTAAAAGGCAAAAGGCATCTTTTTTTTTTTTTTTTTTTTTTTTTTTCTCTTTCCATTTCCCTTTGCAGCTGCCAAGGCATCCAGACTCTCCTCCCTTGGGTGCCATCAAATGTCTTTGGGCACCCTTCTGGGTCTGTCTCCAATATTGAAGGCAGAAGGGAAACAACATATTTTCACATCCGGATAACTAACTCTTCAGCACTGTTTACAACCAAATATATGATTGCTTAAGCACTTATCTTAATACCCAAGTAGCCCATCTCAGCATTTACAAAATATTCATATATTTCAAATGGACCACGGCCCAGGACACATGTGAAAGTGTCTCTGTGTATAGGCCAGTCGTAAAACTGATCTTTTCACCTTATATTTTATATTTGCCTAACAAAAAGCAGTTTTGAAATTTTTATGAGCCATTTCATCCAAGCTCATTTTAACATTTTAATCACCTTGTAAACGATTTCTCTGGTAAATCCTAATGATCTGATTTTTCCTCAGCCATTTCCAGAACTGAAAGGCCCCAGATTCCAAAACATTTCAAGGAAGTCAGCTCAAGAGTCCATTTCAATCAGTTAGTACTTTTTTCAGATAAGGCTGCCTGAACCACAGTCCAGTAAAACCAGTTCCTTTTATTGTTTCAAATTCAGATTTTCTGAATCCTTGCAGTTTAAAACCAGCCACTGAAGCGATGGCTCTCACATAGTTTCCAAACCACCGCAAACACTCACATTCCAACACACACACACAGACGCATACTGCAGCTGGAGCAATGGCTCAGCAGTTAAGAGCACTGGCTGCTTGTCCAGCAGACCCAGGTTCAATTCCCAGCATCCAGATGGTGGCTTACAGCCATCTGTAACTCCAGTTCCAGGAGATGTGACCTGGATGTGACTCTTTTGGCACTCTGAGGGCATCAGGCACAAAGATGCTGTACAGACATACCTGCATGCAAAACACCCATGCACATACAATCAAAATAAAGAAACCTTCCAGCATAACACACTCTTATAAACCTCAAAAGTGGTTTGCTAATCACTGCAATTTTCAGCATACAATAGTTTTTAAAAACAGAAACTTAAGAGCGAAATGGACAGAAATTTTTTACTTGGTTATTTCCAGGTGCTCTAGGGACAGAGATGGCTTTTGTGCCCTACTGCTGCCTTAGAAACCACAGCGAGCTAGAATTCTCTCCCTGGTCTACAGCCAAGAGAATTGAGTGTGGCAATCCATGGACAGACAAGAGCATCAGGAGGCAGAGCAGCCTGGGCTGGAAGAGCCAAAGCCTGAAGGGATGTAATTGGCCTTCTTGGCAGAAGAGATGGATGTTCTGAAGAGACACTTGGCTATCCAGTTATTAAAAGGGTGCTCCCCAATAAAACAGGCTCCGCTAGAAGTTGGAGTCGCCCCAGAAATCTCATGCTGGGGAGAAAACAAAACAGGACAAAACAAAAAACTCTGAAACCCTGGATCCAAACACAGGTGGAATTATCTTGGCTCTGGGGAAGCCTTGCAGCTTCGCATCCAGCCCTGTGGAACTGGCGATCAGACCGTGGTGGCTGGGGGACAACAGGTCAGAGTGTCTACTTAGATTCCTGCATGTCACATGACTCCCAAGATGGACTAGGGCAGTCACTGGATCCCTCTGTCTCTCTTTCCAGTGTGTGCTCAATGAATGAATCTCTTTTCTCTGCTTTCTGTTATCAGTTGACTCCTTTAACTGGTTTGTTGAGGATGAATGGCTGAGCCCATCTTGTTACAGCTTCCAGGGTGCAGGCTCTGACCCCAACTCTGGTAACAGTTTCGGGGAGACTGGAGAAAAGGTGTATTTGGTGAAGAGAGTGTCTGTCACTCACAGCAAGTTGAAACTGGATGGGAAGATGGGAGGGTGTCAGCAGTGGCTAGGGTCATTTTATTCCAGGGACACTCCTCCTTTTGAACTATCTGGGCTATCACATCCTTTGTAGACAGGCCTTGTCAAAGCTCCTCTGAGCTAATCTGTGCCTCTGTTGGGCTATCTGGGGCTCTGTCCAGCCATCAGGTTCTGAACAACCATTCAAGGTTTAGAAACAAGAGTAAGAAGGAGATACCCACACCCAAGAAAACATGAAGTCTTTACTATGTCAGGGCTCCTGGGCTCTCAAGAGATGTGTGCAGCCACACTCTGCTGAAGGAGTTCCAAGCTGGGCAGTTTTCAAAGCTGCCAGCGCCACCTATTTCAGGCTGAGGCCTTCCATCTCCCTCCTAACCCAAGCCACCTGCAATTTTCTTAATGAGCTGCTGTGGATTCTGAAAGAGCATCTGCGTGCCCATGACTTGTTTATTATGTATGGGGAAAGACCAGGGATGTTTCCTGTAGAATAAGGCAATAGTCACACAGCACACAATGCCATGTCAGTCAAAGGAACACTGCAGCCATGGCCGGGATCCTGTTAAAAAAAAAAAAAATTGCAACGGTTAAGAACCCTTGGTTGCCTAGTGACTCAACTGTCCACAGGGCTCCGGTGCTTATGGTGATGCGAGAAAGCCTATGGTATTGCCCTGTATATCGACAAGCTTACTCTACAACTGTGCACAGGATAAGGACACAGTTATGGTGCATTTCACGGTTCATTGCATGTAATAAGCATGTAAATAAGCATGTAAAGTCATCTTTACCATTGTTTTTGCTGTGTCCTCTGACTTCCCGAGGTTCCCATCGACAGTAGGCAGTGACACCCCTCCCCCGTGTCACATTCACCGCTTCTCCTATTTGCTTCAACATGCCGCTTGCAGGCATTGTCCCGAAGCTTTCTGGCTTGCACAAGGACATGACAATGGGCCGCTTGGAGGAAACGGGCTAGCAATGAATCCCAGACATGGCCCCGTAGTTATGCCATGTGTAATAATACACATTGCTGGACTAACAATGCAGACGAGGACTGCAATGATTATATAGAATTATTTGTAATTGAAGGTCACAGAGATGCCTTCTTTGGAGGAAGAAATGAAGCTTGTGTCTCTGCTCCTTCCTCCAGTCTGGTGGAAGCAGATCTGGTGAGACCCATGCTGGGGTTCTTAGAAGCTTGGGGTCTCCCCTTTCCTAGGCTCTTTTGCAATAGAAGATTGGCTTTTGTTGGTATAATGTTCTTTTGGAATGTATACACCTTACCCTTGTTCATTCAAATGCTGATTTCTCTCCCCCACTCTCTGGTTTCAATCCGAACATTGTATTGTGATACTTATTCTAAGCATCACCTATCTCAACTTTGTGTAAACATGCCAAAATAAAACAACCAGCCACAATGTTGAGCAATGGAGAGGAAGGAGTAGGCAGGAGAGGAGAGGAGCCAGAGGACAGGAAGGAGTGTGAAGCAGAGGAGACAGCAGAGGCTGGGAGAGCAGAGGCAGGAGGAACAATGTAGAGAATGAACCGGACCTAAGATTTCACAAAAAGCAAGTATAATGGGTGAATTTAAATGTTAGGAAACTATGAGGGCTTGGAAGTTTATGATGGAGTGACTATTGTCCAGCATTGTGTTCTAGGTTAACTAAATAAACCCAGTGTCTGTGTGGTGATTTGGTTATACAGCTGTTTAGGATTAACAACAGTGTTACTGAAAGATATATCAATAGTAAATATTAACCACTTATTACAACCAACTTTACTTATACTTTACTTGGAGTTGGGAGGGTGGAGGCCTGGCTTATGTGCACTAAGCAACAATTATTCCATTGATCTGAAATTTTTCAAAAATTTTATACTTACACTTTATCTAAAGACATTTTTTGGGTGCTGTGGGGGCACTTCAATCATTTCAGTATTTGGGAGGTAGAGGAAAGGGCAGGAATTCAAGGCCACCCTTGGCTACACAGAGAGACCCTGTATCAACAAGCAAAACAAACAAGAGGAGGCCGGGGAGATGGCTCAGTGGTTAAAGCACTTGCCACACAAGCCTGGTGACTATATTCAATCTTTAGAACCCATCCATGTAAAGGCGGAGGCAGAGAACCTGCTTGTGCTAATTAGGTTACTTTCTGCTGTGACCAATGCAACTTACAGGAGGAAGGTCTTATTTGGGCTTATGGTTCCAGTCCATCATGGCTGGGAGGCAAGCAGCAAATGGCAGGCATGATGGCAGGAGCAGGAAGGCGTGAGCTCACACCCTCAACCCCAAGCACAAGCAGAGAGGGGGAATAGGAAATAGGGAGAAGCTCTGGACTCTGAAAGCCCACATCCAGCGATGCACTTCTTTCACCAAAGCACACCTAAACCTCTCCAAACACCACCAGTAACTGGGAGCCAAATGCTGGCGCCTATGGGGAACGTTTCTCATTCAGACCACCACACCATACCACAAAGTTTTCCTCTTACCCCCACATGCCTACCAACTACTACTACTACTAGCTGTAGTAGTAATATAATAATAATAATAATAATAATAATAATAATAGATTTTTATTTCTAGCATGGCATAGTGGCTCCCTGCAGTCCAGGTGTGTGGGATGAGGAGACAGGAACTTCCCACAGAGGAAGACGCCTGACCAGTCTCTGGGCCCCAGGTACGCACACAAGTGCCCCCCCCCCCCACGGGAATGTTTAAAAATTGTGTCTTAGGACAATGTTGCCAGATTTAACCAGTCAAAACCAGTAAGATGTGGACTTCCGCAAATGGAAAACTTGAAAGCCCGCTGGTATTCCTGCTCCTGCAGTTTCCCCATCTCCACCCGCCCCCAGCTCCTGGGACACAGTAAATTGGTTCCACAAAACGACCTTTCTCTGAGAGTATCCGTCACGGCCATCACTGTCGAGGCGCAAAATTTCGTTAGCTCAAATTCCATTGATTACCTCTCCCACCCAGCAAGTAATGATTTTCTGAGACAGTAGGGCTAAGTGCACCGGAGTTAATAAGTAGCCGGGCACCTTTCCAGGAGGGACTGCCTACATGTTTCTCACAACTGTGACCGCACACCTGAAAGCCACTACAGGAAGGATTTACTTCGATTCATCTTGGCGGGTGCAGTCCATCATGGCGACATTCATTCATGGTGTGGGACCCGGCTGCTGGGACCCCTCCCACCTGGCTGACTAGGACTCCGAGAGCAGGGAATGCTGGTTTGCCAGAGTGCTGTTTTTAACTGATGTGCGTTATTTGTTGATTAATTTTTAACACTTATTTTGTGTGGGGATGGAACCAAGCCATGTCACTGAGCTGCAGTCCCAGCCTTGGTTTTGGTTTCCATGAACGAAACACCCTGTGGGGTGGTGTTATCTTAATCCTGTTTGAGACTCTCTCTGGAGTTTGGCTGCTTTTGAACTTACCTCCTGCTCCTGCCTGAGATTATAGCACTCTGTGTCACCACGCCAGGCTCTTGGAAGGCTGTGTCCCCCCCCCCCCCCCCCCCCGCCAGTACAATTCCACTCCCTCTCTTCTCTCCTCCCTTCTGGAGAGGCTGCCTTTCTTTGTTGGACTGATTTCCCTGGGAGGCCTGACTCTGGGTCCTGGTCATTAGCCACACTGTTGGCACAGTCGGACAGGGGCATAGTAGGGGTTGTTATCAATCATTCTGGCTTGGTGTCTGTTGCCAAAGGACAATATTCGTTGCACCAAGTCTTCAGACAACTTCTGACATCATAAGAGGGAAGCTGGCAACCCAGTCCCAGGTGGGAACCCACAGGCAGCAGCCACAGGCTGCTCCCCAGCCTAGGGACTTGTGGTGGATGCTATCTCTCCTGCTTCCAGCCACAAGAGTCTCTGCTTACCAACTTGCCAGGGACTAACCTGCATGCCTAACAGAGAGAGACGCATTTCTGTTTCACCTGGCAGGGAGGACATATAGCTAGGGGATTTAGCAATCGTGCTAACAGGACAATTTAACAGTGTGTCTCTATAGCCCTGTGGCGCCTGGCCTGCAACCTCTGTGTACTGTGATCTGTTGCTCCTGAGGCCATCATGCGTGAAGCATAATTAAATGGTGGGCTAGGGACAACGATGCGGTGAGATACAGGGTGCGCTGGCTGTCACTGCCTTGCAGGTAGGTGGTGTTTGCAATGGGGTCGGGGAGCTGGGACCTTCTGATGTTTGGCAAGGTTTCCACCTTTGAGGCACACACTGACAGCATCAGTGATTTGTTGCTAATAGACACTGGGAACACCCCGGAAAATGACAATGTGAAGCCTAGCGTAGCGAGCTCGCAGCCTGGTATTACTAACCCCTGACTGTGACGCATGATTACAACTGTGGGCAGATCACACACCTGCCCACAGCAGCGTGGCGCGGACACTGAGGATGCGTGTGCGAGCACGGTGCTCGGCCTCAGTGTTCTCCTCTGTGAACTGAGGCTATGGATTGAGGACACCCACGGTCACTCTTGTCTGGGCAGGCGATGTAGAGTATGTTTTCTAACCCCTCACCTGGGCCCGAGGACAAGTGGTGACTGGAGCGCAGAGCAGGAACTCAGGTACAAGTATCAAGGTCACAGAGGTCAACGTAAGGCAGGCGCTTTGACCTTGGCGGTTCTCCAGGCCAGAGGCTGGGGACTGGATCCTGTTACAGGATTGCAGTCTTCCTGCCTGCCTGGGGTAAGGCTCTCTCATCTGGCTTCAGTTCCCACATCTGGAGACTGGTGGGATGGCAGGCCGTCCTGATGTGGCAGCGATGGGCCCTGTGGCAGGGACCCCCTCCCCCCAGGCTGTGGTGGGGGCAGTGTCTGGCTGACTGTCGTCCCCATGAACCATGGAGCCATCCTTAGAGCCCACGCCACCACAGATGCCTGGTGTCTGAGGCTTCCTCCTCAGCTCCAGCCAGGGCTGAGAGTGGTCCATGCTCTCGGCTGCCTGTGGCGGCCCTGGCGCGGTGCCAGGCAGGGCCATAGACAGGCCAGGCCCTAAGCCTCTGGAACAGCAGAAGCAGGGAAAGCAGAGACTTCTGTCACCCCACAGACCTCAGTGCAAGAACATCTGCGGCGCTGGCTTCCTCCCCAAGCTTCGCACTTGCTCATCCCTTAGCCTTCCTTTTCTCTTGATTTTTAAACACGTACTTGTCCTACAAGTTCCACTGCAAAAGCTGCTCCAGCACCAACCTCTGCCATAGCACAGATCACCCTGAATCATTTCTATCCCTCCGTCCCTCATGTTTGACTCACTTCCGTGCTCTTGCTGTGTCTCTCTGCGGCGAGTGGGGCGAGTACGTGAAAGGGACCAGCAGGGGAAGACATTGCTGGGATCTGCCAGTCCCAAACTCCAGACACCCCTCTTCCCAGCTCTTCATCCCCCACCACCTCCACTTAACTCCTCCGGCGCCAAGATCAGAAGTCCCAGGAGTCCCAGGAGTCTAGGGCACGGCTCTAACTGCGCTCCGCTGTGAGGCCAGCTTGGCAGAGAGGGGACAGGTGTGCGCCGGAGCCTGCAAGTTGCAGTGGGCGTTGCCACGCCACCAGGGATCCAGGGATTCCGGGAATCTCGCGCGGCTCCTGAAGGTCTGCCAAGGCGCGGGCATGGCCGCATCTCCCATCCCAGGCCGCTTGGGTTCCAGGGGACCACCGCGACCCGCCCCAGCTCCGCCCAGGAGGCGCCGAACTCTCGGCCCCGCCCCCTCCCCCCTCCCCTCCCCCCCCCGTCCCCGCCCGGGTCCCTAGGTCCCCGCCCGCGCACACCCTGCGACAGGTGAGCGCGGCGCAGCAGAGCGCTCTGGAGCCCCAGCGTCCCCAGCATGGGTAACAGCGCGGGCCGCAGCGACTTCGAGTGGGTCTACAGCGACCAGCCACACACCCAGCGGCGCAAGGAGATGCTGGGTGAGCGCAGTGGGATGCGGGCGGGGGGGGGGGGGGCGGGGGCGCGGGGGGCGGGGGGGGGGGGGGGGGGGGAGGGCGCGCGCCGCGGGCTCTCCGCCCGCAACCAGTAGGCGCCTGCTGTGTGCAGACCCCCCTGCGTCGCGGCCGAGCTCACCCACCGCGAAAACCCGAGCTCGGGAAGCAGGAGACACCTTCCTCCTTGGGATCCTCTAGATCCCACTAGAGGATCGCAGCTGTCCTGCAGAGGCACTGCCCTGGGGGTTCCCCGCTGCGGGCCGGCGGCTCCGCTCCGTGAGTAGAGGGTGAGGGACAGGCTCGCCTTTCTCAGAGTCTCTGCGCCCCGACGCCTCTCCTCTGCTCCCCTCACTTTGGCGCCCTAGCATCTGTTAACTCTTGTGTTTCATCAGCTCCTCAATGTTGTTTCCTATGGGTGTAACTGGCATTATTCAACAGTCAGCTTCCGTTCTGATTGCCGGTGCTCTCCAGGCTGTCTTGGCCAGGTCTTGAGGAGGTAGAAGCTTCCCTCTGAGTCTTTTGAACCCAGGGTGCACCTGGGCTGCTGTTGGGGGTCTCAAACCGTCCTGTGGGTTTGCGTTTTTGTGATTGTGCCACCTGTCTGGGTAAGTCATGTCCCCCTTCTCGTGTGAACCTTGGTTCCCCCTCCTCCAGGTGTCTTGGCTGAGATGCTAAGGCTGGGGCAAGGAACCCTTTGCCTGGCTCCCCAGCTTCCCTTCCTGAATTCTCTGGGCACCTGGCATTAGGTAGAGAAGACCCACAGGTGCTCATGGGAGGCAAACAGACTGCACCTGTGCACACACACAGACACACACACACACACACACACACACACTTCTGCACAGTGGTTCCGCTGCCTGGTGAGAGGATGAGGCAGGCTCCCTGAAGGTCGGGCGCTGGTACGGTATCTGCCACTCCAGGATACATGAAAGGTCCCTCTCTCCTACTTGAAAAAGTGAGCTTCAAATTTGTGACCCTCTGTTCCCTGCCTCCCTAGTTCTGGGGTTAAAGAGGTGCGCAACCGAGCCAGCACTCTCTAGTTTCAGTTGGCCTCAAACTGGCTGCAGACAACGTTGCTGTCTGGGTCTGTCCGCCTCTACCATCCTAGCTCTGGTATTAAGGCCCACCGCACCCAGGGGTTACAAGGTGCTAGGAAGTCAACCCCGGGCTTTGCAGATGTGTAGCAGCATCTACCATGGGGCCTCATCCCAGCCCTTTCCAACTGAGAAAGCATGGGTCCTAGGACACATCCAGACTTCCTAGAGAGATTGGTGGGGGCAAGGGGGCAGGGCTGGAGCGTGAGGAACTGAGGGAACACTGCTTGCAAGGTAGGAGAGCCGTCATCTCCGAGGCTCCTCACTCACGCCCCGGCTATAGGGCCTCTGGCATCCTGACAACCCATCCGGTTGGTGCCCGAGACTTGGGATGTGTGTGTGTTCTTTGGCCAGCTTGAGCTCTGGTCCTTCCTGCTGGCATGGTCCAGTGCCCCCTCCTCCAGGAAGCCCTCACCGCACCCCACTGGCTGCTCTGATGGCCCTGACCAAGCTGGTAAAGGCTGGGCTCTGCCTCCTCAGCTCTGGTCTCCACAGCAGCAATTTAGTGGCTGGTGGAAAGGTTGGTCCCATGGCCAGAATTCCAAGAGTCGCTTGTGAGTGGCAGGTGAGTCAGTTTGGACATGAGGAAGTTGCAGCTTGGGCAAGAGGAAAGGCCAGCATAGAACCTTCCTTCCGAAGCTGCTGTTCAGACTTGGGAGGCGATGTGTGAAGCAGTCTGGCCAGCATCGCCACAGACGTCAACAGTAACTCTTATTGTCAACATCCTGAAGCCAGGGCTGGGGACTCACCGAGGCTGGGGACAGATGGGGACAGAAAACTCCGCAGATAATTGTTCTGACCCTTTGCAGACAGGAGAAGCCATTTGCCCTGGACCGAATAGGCCAGAGGCCACTGAGGCCTGGATTGCTCAGGTTCAGTTGTATTGCACACGGCTGGCTGATGGCTTCCTCAAGCTCCGGAGCCTGACAGGTGTTCGGTTAAGGTCAGAATCTCCCAGTCAGGTCCCAGGAAGTCATTGCTAAGAGTTGGCCCCATCGTTCTGTGATATGAATGACCAAAGTCCACCTTCCGTTGCTGCCTAGGCTGAGGACATGCTCCCTGGCACAAGTGTCTAAGAAAATAGGGTCCCATGGTAGCGTCTCCCCAGGCCAGGGGAGGCAGGAAGCTGAGCCATTATACACTGAGCCAGGCCCGGGAACACAAGCTTGGGTTTGTGTCTTTGAAGATAAACAGCTTTGTAATTTTGTTTGCTTTTTTAAAAAGAACATATGAAAGCAAGGTAGACACACACACACACTCACACACATATGAGGGAAACCAGGAAATGGAAGTCAGTTGTTGGATTGTTTGCTTAGGAAAGGCTAGGTTGTGACTTCTGTCAGGGCTGTCAGTGGCGATGGCCTCTGGGAAGAGCAGATGGCCCCAAGCCAGCAGAGTCGAAGGCACAGAGGGAGCTGCCAGGGGAAGGTGAGGCCCTGGCCACCTAACCATGGCCACACAGACTCCTCTTCCACACAGGAAGCCTGCCTCTTCTGGGACCTGCAAGGGTCTGGCGGACCCTGTGGCCTCCTTTGCCAGGCCCAGCTCTGTGGCTGTCTCCGGCACCATGGTCTTTCCCGGGAGCCTGGTGTTTTGTGCCCGGTTATGGGCCCACGGTTTTACGGTCGGGGATGGTGCTGTGATGAAAGGCGGGCGTGTATAGTGCCGTGCCACACAGGAATGGGAAAACGGGGCGATGGGGATAGGACCCCCAGCAGCTCAGGGGCAGCAGCCCTGCTGTCCCGTCATACTGCCATGGCCTAGCCTCTGCTCTGGCCTCTTAGGGACACTCCGGCACTGACCCTGTAACTGCATTTCGCCTTCTCTCCAATCTGGGAGGCCCAGGCAGCTTCCTGGCCTTTGTGAGCATTGTTCAGTCTGGGAGGACTATTTATTTTCGTGCTTCTGGGGATGTTGGAACCCAGGACCTGGCACCTGCTAGGCTGACACAATGCCCCTCCTACGCCCAGCTAGACCTCTTCATCAGCTGACCGTGTATGTATTCTTTTGGTCTTAGCGTCAATGTTCTTTCCACAGAAACATTCTGACAACACACAAGTAGGTACACAAATGTCCCCTCACGCTTGTGCATGTGCACAGGGTGGAGGTGGTAAATGGGAAACCACTGGCTCTCTCGAGAAACTGAGTTGTGGCATTTGCCAGTTGCTGTAACTATTTCCATCATGGCTCCTCCCCTCATTCCTGGGTGCACCCTTGAGGTAGAGCTAGGGAAACATTCCCACTCCTGGTTCCTGCCCGGGAGCCCTGTGTTCTGACAGACGCATCACCACCCTCCCCTGTCACCATCCTCCCCCCTGCTCTCCCTTAGGGTGCCACACCCGCTACCTTTGTCCCCAGCGGCTGCCTTTCTCAGTGCTGGGAGAGCTCGCCTGTGCCTGGTGCCCAGGAACTCTGGGGGCGAGAGAAACCACAGGCAGGGGACCCTCTAAACACCTTTGCCATTCCTAGCCAGAGGCCACCAGGGTCAGCCTGGGTGCCAGACGCACTATCTGTTGAGGGCTGCTTCCTTGTTCTCATGCAGCTGAGGAGGCGAGGCAGCACTCTGGTCTGCTGTCTGAGGGAGCATTCTGGTCTGCTGTCTGAGGGAGTACTCTGGTCTGCTGTCTGAGGGAGCACTCTGGTCTGCTGTCTGAG